TATGACTGTTGTTGGTCACCAGCTGTCATTTAAGAGCAGCCTGTTGTTGTAACATCAGCTCATATGTGACGATTTATAATATCTGCACATAAACAAAGCTATTGGAAAAATTGTGGTGAAGGACTTTCCCTGTTTAAACTTTACAAAACTGTGGTTAATCCTGAGGGGAACATGAAAGTTGAACCACACAAACCCATCTAAGTGATGTTGAACTATTTCACAGGATGACTGAAACATCTGACCTCATGGTGGCGCTAGAGGACAAGGTTTCATCCTCTGAGGATCATAGTGTCCCTCCACTAGCATTACTAAAACAAAAGAGCTTTTACATTTAATTGATGTTAACCAGTTTTCTTGTGTCTGCTTTTCATATTCAGCGTCTCCGCTCTCATCTGTCTCACGAGCAGCGAACGTACCTGCCGAAGCCGTTCAGTAAGGCCACGATCTCCTGTCGAGTGAGCTGGAAGCCTTTGGATGGGCTGTGTTCTGGAAGGTTCTTGATCTCCTTCTCAGAGAAGAGGATCTTCAGCGCCGTGCCCAGACCCTGAGTCTGCAGAGAACCACAGTTTCAGTCCAAACCTACAGGGCTGTGTCTCACTTGGAAAAGAGCTTCACAGTCACGTGGAATCACATCAGGCTAAATGAAGTTTGAAAGAACCTGACTCACCTGTAGTTTTCCCCACAGACGACACTTACTGCAGCCGACACAGTCCATGATCCTGGAGATGTTTTTAAAATGGAGCCGGAATTCCTCCTGGATGGAAACGAGAGCAGACGAGACAATTCACACTTCCTGTTTACGACGCAAACGTTCTAGCTCAAACACGTCTTAATGAAAAGGCCCAAACTAGGACAGTGAGACAGAAAACAGTTCAATCAGATGTGACTCGTTTAGTGAACTATAATAGATTATTTACAAAGCTGCAGAGTATTGATACACTGCTGCTTTGAACAAACAGTCTGCTGATCGTCCTGCTGACACTGCTGATTCTGCTCCTGATCAAACAGTGACAAACCAAATAGTGGACATCAGCCAACAGAAACCTCCACACACAACATGACAGTTGGAGCCTTCGGTTCACCTTTAATGTCTTTGCTTCCATTTTGTCCCCGGCAAACATGGACTTCTCATCAAAGTGCATGGGGAAAGCTCTGGAAGACAAAAGGAGCCATTAGCCTTACAATCACATGTGAACTAGATGCGAGTCACATGACCTGCAACAATGAATGACCCCAGGACATCTCTGTCGTTCTGGATTCAGAGTGTGTTGCTTTAACGAGGTCTGCATCAGACCTTGTGATTCAGTGTGAACTTCTCTGTTTAGCCTCACATACAGGTCTTTGTTGTTCTGGTCCTGTGTTTGACATAAAAGGTCGCAC